CTTACTATACTTTGATTATAAGGTTTGACGCCAAGAATCGCACAACTCTGAGCGGGTTCCACCTAGTTGTGCGTTTCATTTGGTAACATAACACTTACCTAATAAGTTCGAGGATTCACCACAAATGACATGATATGATCCATGCTACCATTGGCGACACTTGCAGGGGCGAATGCTTTTACACCAACTGAAACGGGCTAGAAGCCCCACTTTCTTATAATGTCGTCGGTCAATCACACGGCATCCCCAATCGTTGGATTTGTGCCTTAAATTAACAAGGCGTTGGATTTGTGCCTCAAATTAACAGGGCAACCTATCATAATGTTATAGGATGTCACATTAGTTAGAAACTTAATTGAATTTTCATGTTGTAACTATCGAATTTGAATTTTAAGGCAAATGAGAGAAGTGTGAGAAACATATGGATAATTATTTTTTATTGTGTTGGTTATTATCAATGTTTTCAAAACCGGACCGGTCATTGAATCGTTTTTAGGTCCGGTTTCCGGTTTGACTGGTTCAACCGGTTGAACCGGTGAACCGTCCGGTTCAAACAATAAGGAAGGTTTGATGAGAGGAGCAAGCTATAGGCATGAATTTTTTTATTTGGTGTTGATAATTTTGTAATTTTGTTAAAGTTAAAGGTTAAAATGGGTATAAAAAAGGAATGGAAAGGGTGAAATTGGAAAAAATTGAAAGAAGATTGCATGAGAAATTGAACCGGTGATTTTTCTGGTTCTATTGGTTTTATCGGTTTTTACCGGTTTTATCGGTTTTTACCGGTTTTTGACCGGTTTTGACCGATTTTGACCTCAAACGGTTTTCTTATGTGAATCGAACCGTTTTTATCACCGGGTACCGGTCCGACCGGTTCAACCAGCCGATCCGGTCCGGTTTTAAAAACCTTGGTTATTATGTAAAAGAGTTTTTTGAATTTGTATTTTTAAGGTATAAATTAATTAAATAAATTATTTTATTATAAACTTATATAAAAAACTATAAAGGTAGACATCAATTTTAGTATTATTATTATGTTTATAAATTTAATTAAATAATTAATAAATTAAATATTATTTTTTTAAGATTCCTAAAATACAAATTAAAAAACTTATATAAAAATAGCATTTCCTCCGACAATCACTCTACTTTTTGAACTTTCTAATAAAAGCATATACCCATTTCCACAACAATAACCAACGTCTTTTTCTCCACATGAGATCGTCTGGTTGTACCTAGCTAGAAATTAAAATCTTTGTAATGCTAAAGCTGCTTTGGTTTTTTTCCTATCGTTGGAATCAGAGCATCAACGACTTTGTTGATCGGCTAATGAGAAATATTGAGACTTGGTGGACGGGGCATTGAATTGGTGCCGTGTTCAGTTTGTAACTTAATAATGTTAATTTATATATATAAGTCCAATTCATGCAAAAACGTCACTTTCCATATACCTAATCTTCTCAATTTGAAAGCATCTTTTTTCAATATTACTATTACTTTGGAACTTGTATCCTGAATTATAAGGTACTTTGACTTAGTGTTGATTGTTATATTTTTAGGTAATATCTGAGGATATATTATGTTATAAAAATCAAACAAATATAGAAAAAATGGTAGGAATTGTGTATCTCCTCTCCTTTTACAAATTAGATGGATTTATTTTTTTTATACCATTATGAGAAAATGGAGCATTCCAACTTTTACATTGAGTTATGTTTCTATACCTAATTTTTTTTAAGTATTTTTATTTTGATAATACTATTAAAATAATCCATTTTTAAACTTTTACATTGCGTTATGATTTCTTTAACTCTATAAATACCCATTAAAAAATCAGATTTAGGCTTTTGGGAGGAGAGCAAGAGAGAGACGACTAAAAGGAATTTAACAATAAAAGAAGATCAAGACTTGAGATCTTTTATGACGTTAGATACTATCATGCTCATTATGGGGTTATTGAACTTTTTTTTTTTAATTATAAACTGATTTAGTCAAATATTATAAAGTAACATGATCAATTTGATATAGAATTTTATGATTTTTATACTTTTAAGGTTTATTATTTTATGTAGAGTATATATTAT